TGATTTCGACTGACTAGGTCTATTTTGAATTTCAAAAGAATTACAAATCAATTTGTTTTAATATGTTAAAATGAGCCTCGTGATATATATTTGTCGATGACCAAAGCGGTACTTTATTCTAAAATGTAATATTATTCATTTGTTCTCGTATACAAATATTTTATCCATGTGTTCTTATTTGACCGTAAACCGAATTATTTACTTAAGCAGAAACCAATATACTCGAGTATTTTTCATAAAACAATGAATACTCGATTATATGGGTTAAATTCTCGAATATTGTTCGTCGACTAATCATTTATGAACATTATGTACTCGAGTATTGAAATGCACATGTTTTTTTTTTGTATAACTGAAATGCACATGTTAAATATTCGAATATTATTCATCCACTAAGCTTTTATGAATATTATGTACTTGAATGCCGGGGTGGTGTACTAGAGTACGTTGCGACCCCAACTTGAATTTTTGTAGGTTGATGAAAATGGTAATAACCATGAATAAAGGCCATTGGATATGAGGTTTCTACTTTACGTGGATAGATAAGGAAGGTTTGTTTTTGTGGTCCCGTAGATATAATCGCATTCTAAAAATATTTAGGGGGTGTTTGGTTGGAGGATTCCTTGAAGATGCATAGGCATTTGAAAGATGGGATTAGTCGGTGGCCATGTTTGGTTGGAACTTTCTGAAGAAAAGTCCACCTAAATCATTACCCCATCTTTACAGTTTGCATATGCTTTTGATCCAAAAACCCGGCTATACTTTCCCATTTGATATGTGGTATATTACGTTATCTATGTAAATCTTCAGAATCGGCAAGAGGCATATGACCAGCGTACCCTCCACTTGTGCACGAAACTGAAAATATCTACCTGGTTAGATCTATTTGTTGCATAGTTGTTGTGGCGCCTAACAACCCAGATGGGGCTGCTTTAGGATATCATCAGTTTGATTTGCATCAGGACTTCAATCACAGCTTTTATACTAGTTTTAATGGTACAAGTTATTCTGAGGAGGATGCTATTCCTCATATATCTAGCTATCTACCAAGCATCTGCCCTCTTCCTTCTGCTTTCTTAGGTCCAAAATGTGCACTTTGGGACTGTCCAAGGCCTGCGCAAGGGATGGACTGGTGTCAAGACTATTGCAGTAGCTTTCATGCTGCCTCTAGCTTTGAATGAAGGGCCACCAGGCATGACCCCAGTTCTACGCGTGTCTTCAAAATGAATTCAAAAATATTTAAAGTCAGGGGTATTTTTATAATACCCACTGCATTTACCTATCTATATGTTACTTATAGCCAAATATGAACTTTATAAAAGTTACTTAATTTGCTCACCCAAATTTTTTCCAACCAAACAACTTTTTTTACATTTTCTTATTAAACATAATCCTCTAACTATTTTCCTATGCATAACATTTTCTTATTATTCATAAAATTTCTCCCCAACCAAACGCTTCCCAGGGAGAAAATTTTTAAAGAAATAAGAGATTGAAAAGAAAACACAATTTTTCAAAAATAGAAAAAGGATAAAAAAAAAAAGTTCCCGAATAACTTTAAAAGATAAAAGAGGTTGTCCATGATAATAACCAGGAAGCTTAAAGCTGTGGAGGTCATCCAAAGTTACCGAATCTGAATCTATCACGTGGCTCAGCAGTCGAGGCATCCTGCACACCTGCACTCTTTCCCGATAAACATTGAGTAAAAAGTAGCTGTCAGCCTGTCACCGAACATGACGGTATTTACCAGTGCAGTTATTATTTACATTTCTTATTTCTTTTACATTTTGAAATGACAGTGCCTACAAAATTTGGACGATTCTCACGGCATGATAGTATAAGCTTATACTATATATTATAATCTTTCCGTTATTTGGTGTGATCATCATATAGTATAAGTTTATACAACATAATTTCTTAATACATCAAAACGATGTATAACTTAATCCGGCCTAAGAGTGAGAGATAAGGTCTGATAAAAAATTGATATATTAACATTATTGACCAATGTAATTCTAAAAAATTATTATATTATTTTAATATTAATCTATTAAAATAAAAATTAATTTTTTACTATTAATTTTTAAATTATTGAATATTTTTATTTTTATAAAAATTAATTTATATTTTGGACACACTGACTAATAAATTTTTATAATAATTAATATAATATGATATTTTTTGAAGAATTATATAATTTTTTTGGTAAATAATTATATAAATTCTTTATTAAAAGATATTTTTATTAAAAATATTTATTTTTTTATATATAGTATTATACAATGCATTACTAAATACTAGATAATATTATCTTATACAATATATTATTTTATACAATACTATCAAGTCTTATACTATAAAACCTTATCCTATACTAAATATCAAACATGCCCTAATTAACTAATTATACTGCATAATAACACCTGAAACCTGATTTTTCACATGTTACTTAAAAGCTTACGGCTCCTCCAGCCCTCAAATATCCATTTGCAGGCTTTTGGACACTCCCTAGATTTGGATTTAGCAAGCATTAGACTATGGAAAAACATTTTCTCATGTTGCATTCTCATGTTGTGACCCTTTGATTTGCGTGCATAATTTTTTTCTTTTTCTTTTTTAATAAATATGGGGCCTACCACTAGTTGAGTCACAACATGAGAATTCAATTCTCATTCAACATGAGAAAATCAAACCCCTTAAACTATACCTTATAATATAGGGAAAATATATTCTTATGTTGTATGAGAGTGTTTTTATTTCTTATATATACATCGATTTTTATGTTACTTTTTTATTTTATTTTTCTTTTTTTATAAGTGGGTGGATCCCACACATGATTGTATCTATAACATGAGAGAGCTCTCTCTTATTGCATAAGATTAATAAAGGCGTATAATATATGTAACGAAAAAGCTATGAAAATAAATAAATTAAACTTGATCATTTTATTTTTATAATTCTATACTTTCCGTGATTTATTTAACAGCACTTGAATCAACTAAAAACTGTTAAAAATTTGTGTGAAAGAGATTAATAAAGCAGTTTCAACTGTTACCAACTTTGAATTTAGGTGGTGTTTGGTTGAGAAGGTTTTCAAAGTTTCCTATGCAAATGAAGGAAGGAATCCAGAAATGACTTGTTTAGTTGAATAGATTCAATCTAAATACCCAGCTATCCTATTTGCATTGCTTTTTCCATTTGCTGGTGGAATGATAGGTTTTGTCACTGTTGAGAAAGATTTGTTGAAGGTGGTTTTTATGTGAAAACCAGCTAAATGACTATGTAGAGAAATTGTTAGAGACCATTATACCCTCTCAAAAAGAAAACTTGTAGCAACAGTTACCTCTCTTGTCAAAGCATCCTCAGTTCTTGCTCTTTTCTTATCCTTTTTGCAACAGAAATAGACACATGAGATTTGTAGCACGACTTCTTGGGTGGCAGACTCCGACATTGGAGCATTCTAACTTTGAAGTCTTTGGATTCAATTGTATTGTTTTGGCTCATTTAACTCTGGAATTGGATGCTCTTGTTTCTGCAGTGCACTGTTAAAATATGAACAATACCTTGAAAATTAAAATTACAATGAGCAAAAAAAGGCTTCAAAAAGACTAAATCTCAAACATAGATTTTCATATGTTTGAGATTTTGTAATACCAAACATACCGTAAAAAAAAGTTAAAATCAGTGTTATTTTCGTGATACCAACTTGTTTTCCCATCTATATTTTACCTTCAACCAAACATAGATTTCATAAAAGTTACCTAATTTTTCCAGTAAAGTTTTTTCTCACCAAACAACTTTTTTTTACATTTTCCTACCTATCTCATTTTATCTCACTTTCCAACCATTTCCCTATCAATTACATTTTCCTAGTATTCAAAAAATTTCTCCTCAACCAAACGGCACCTTACTTCTTCTAAAAAAAAATTATTGAAACTATGATGAAATACGTACGTACACATGTATAACAATTAATATAATTATTAATATTTACTTTCTGAATTAAGTTTGGAATCTAACAGTTATAATTTCAATCATAATTTCGCATTCTATCACTTAGAGAGGGGAAAAAAAAAACTGTACAAGGTTGCCATATTTTTCTTCGCATGCAAGGTTGCCGAACAATTGAGTTTTATAATGCTTATGGTTTATGGGGAGATTTTACAAAGCACAACAAAGGGGAGATTTTACAAAGCACAACAAAGGCCACCAAGAATCAAGGATTTCGAGCTTCAACATGATCTTTCTTATATCAAGACAAATGTCCAATGAAATCAAATACCTCAAATTATTATATTGAGCTGGAAAAACCTTATCAATCGTAGAACCATATTCTTGGGTTTATGGATGAAATAAAGGTTGAAAGAAAGAAGCATAACGCTGTGGAAGTTGATTATGTGCCAAGAAATTCATCTGGGAATCATTATTGTTGTTCATGTGGTTATGGTGGTCCAAAAGGAGAGAATCAAGGGACTCAAATTACATGGCTTGTAGTTGCCGTTGACAATGGTTCAACAATAATAACAGGATGCAAAGCTGAGAGGTTCTTGTTGGAAAGTAACAGAAGTGGAAATGGAAGAAAGAAGAAATGCTTGGGGATGCAGGCAACGACAGTTACCCTAGTAGAAGAGGAGGATCACTAAAAAAAAAAAGATAATTAACGGAAGTTTTTTAATGGGATATATTTTTCTTATGTTGTAGAAAAAAAATTACCTCATGTTGTAGAAATAAAAGTATAAGTGGGACCCACATGTAAGAGGAGAGAGAGAAAAAAGTGGTGGGACCCAACCCCTTTTTGTGTGTGTAGGAGAGATGTTTATCTCATGTAAAATGAGATAAACATCACCCTTTTTTAATATAGGTAAAAAAAATCTCCACTAAATAATCTAACTTTTAGCAGGTTTTAAATCTCCACAATTTATCATTTTATTTTGCTAAATTAGAAGGCCTTAAATGGGCCCTAGCATAATATCAACCGCGCCCAAACTCCAATGAAGGCCTATACCAAGCGTGGATGAAAATATATGTGTGCATTTGATGTAGTTACAACACTCCAACAAAAGTTTTTCTTTCTCGCGCTCATTTTCTGTTCTTCATCTTCTTTTTCTCATTCTCCGATTCTCTTTCATTCTTTTTCTACTTTCTCTCTCTATATTTTCTCACCCAATTTCTCTCTATTTCAGGCAAATCATTGATCAATACTTGACAAATAACACCTAATCTGTATTTCATAGGTTTTTATTATAAATTTAAGTATAAATTATTCTATAGTTGAATTTTAATTTCGTGTATGTTGTGTTGTCTATTTCTAGGTTATTACAAAACTCCTACGCACAATGAATCAGTGAGAGACATTTACAAAGGTTTGGATAAATATTTATCACCATACTTATTTGTGGATTAACTTTTTGGACTTATATTTTGAGTCTCTATTAAAAAAATTTGGGGTAATTTTATTTTTGCTAGATTGAAGCCACATAAGTTTTCTTTGTTGTGAGTAATCATCTCCATGGGATTAAGGAAGATAGTCTATCTGATCATAAAGGAATCTTCTCCTCTGGAGATGAGGTCACACATTCTTATGTCGATGTTATTGCTTGTTACATTTATGTCCGTTTAATTTGTTCCTCATTATATTTGATGTTAAGGGAAATTTATATTAGAGATAAAAGAGGCAAAGCACAATTAGGAGGAATGACACCAATTTGAAGTTTATTTGTCTGGCTATTTTATGCGGAGTTGAATCAACTATATATTAAGTATCAAATATAAATATTTGGTTTCCGAGGATTTTTAGAAATTTAAACAACATACAGTACCAAGTAATAATTTTCATCAATCATATATTTGTTTCAGGTTAAATAGTTTTTTAATTGTGATGCAATGAATGAGAAAATCAATTCCTTTTTCCTTCAGTTTTTATTGGTGGTTTAGTTTTATCAATGAAATTTATTAGCTTCTTTTATTTTGAAGCGAATCACAAGTTGAGTGACGCGGTCTTAAGTAAAACAGAGAAGGTATATGGAAAAAACAACATAAGTAGTGAACTATGGTGCGAACCTGGGTTGTGTTCAGATATTATCAATATCTTACTTTTTTACATGTTAGATTTTTTGGCAACCCCATTTCCTCCTGTTATAAGTTCGGTGCAATGAGCAGATGGAAGCCCTTGAAGAAATCTTAATTTTCTACAGGTGCAAATTTTTTTTAAGTTGCTCTATAATTTTTGTTAACAAAATTTCCAACTACCGACTAATAGATACCCCAACATCTGTGGCAGCGCTTGAACTAAATGCGCAATATGTGTTGCCTCATTAATTCCTTACATAACAGAAGTTTTTAGTTCCCCCTGGATATCTAGCTACATTTGAGTGAATTGCATTTGAGTTCCTATAATTTAATGGAGTTATTCAAAAGATTAATTTCTTCGTTTGAGTTATTTGAATGAAATAATAGACCAAACAATCTTTTAGTCTTCACTATCAATGGAGTTGGGCTTGTATTTAAGTTCGTATATCTTATTATATTTTAGTTATATTTGAATTGCAACGTGCTTAAATCTACCTTGAGCTAAATGTGTCAGCGAGCTCTCACATTTGGAGATAAATTAAGAAAATTGTTTGTTTTTGGTTTGTTTTTATAATTTTCAGGTGATTTTCCAGTGACTAAAGGTAATAAATGGTCAAGTACCAGATGGGTGCATGTTAAGGAATAAGTGGTCAAGTAACAAGTAGGTGGAGTTATGGGTTTTACCTTAATAAAATATTATTAAGTGGTCAAACTTAATAATATTCATTGATTTATACAAATTCACTCCCTTTTTTACCTCATTTAATCACTATCTAATATATCTGCATAGATTTATTAGCTGAAGTCCATTCTGCATTTCAAAATATTTTAGTTTAATGTTTGTGGAGATCTAACTTTTTTATATATATATATGTATTTCAGATGATACATGTAGCAGCAAATGATGTTGCTTTCTAAGCCCATGCTGTTCTACTAACAGCAATTTCCTTGAAGGTAATGGGATGATATCATGTTCACAACTAAGTTTTAAATCTATTTCCAATGTTTTTGCCGATAATTTATTCTTTCATTATATAGGTGAAGAGTGTGCTAGACCCTTTAATTAGCAGTTAGCTATTTGGAATTAATCGTCCTAATTTTTCTACTTTTTACGTTTGCCCATCAGTACTTGGCGACAATGTCTACTTAACATGAATTCCTTTCTTGTTTTTAGGTTGAGCATATGTTAAATGATAGATTGCTTCAGTTTGTCAATATTGCTTCAGTTTGAGTAAGCAACTTTTGATTATTAGTTTAAGTCCTCATTCTTTTAAACATGTTAAAAGGGTATAATAAATTGGTTTTTCACAGGATAAGGGAGTGAAGAAACTATTCTAACACGCGGAAGGTCTCATTACCTTTGAATTGGGTTATGTGAATTCAATATTTTTGAATTTGATTTTGGGTTCTGCAAAGTGATAGGTGTATCATTAGAGACTTATATGGATTTTGGAGTTTTTAAATGCGTTTATTTTATGCGTTCTTGTTGTGGATAATTGTAAATTTCTACTCTTTCTCGTTTACACAATATTGAATCAACCTTGTATCCTTTATGAATGTGTACAATTACAATGAGATATTCTACTATGAATGGTGTAAGAACCCGCATCGCTAAATTAGGAATTTAAATAATTTAATTATTGAGTTTATGAAATAATTCCATAATTGACTTTGGATAAATATAGAAAGACCATGATAATTAATATTACGTCACTTTTCAGAAGGAAAGTGCAAACACGGGTATTTCACGGTATAAATGGATATCCCGTGAAGTAACTCGAAAAATGATGAAAAAATATTAATATTCCTAAAAAAATATATAGGTTATGAATATCAAAGTTGAGATGAAAATAATAAGCAGTAATGACAGAACTAATACAAGCTATTTCGTAGTAGAAAGTGCGTATCGAAAAAGTGTCTTGAAAAATTAATGTAAAAATATGATAATTCCTAGAAAAATGTCTAGGTCAAGAATATGAAATTCCAGAGTTAAATGAAGAGCGAAACTATTAGAACTAATACCGATGGATTAAATGGGTACACACATATATATATAGTTAAATGGGAAACAAAACCCTAAGTTTTTGCACATTTTCCACATTGATCTCTTGAACACTATGGCTGCCATATGCTCTACCACCTAGCTCTCATCATTTTCTCTCCATGACATCACCAAGACACTACCTTTCATCACCTCCTTCCTTCTTGACAACACTAAATACTTGAAAGCTACCATCTTCCAAGGAAAAGAATTGTTCTTAGAATACTACACCTGCTGCCTTATGAGGTTAGAGAAGTGTTCTTCTTTGTTGAGTGTGTTGGAGGCCTTTATACTACCCTTGGAGACCTAAGGAGCCATCTTTGAGAAGAAAGAACCATCCTTTGACAAGCCATTTTCTTGCACTTGTCATGGCAGCAGTGGAAAGTGGGTTGTAGACATTGAAGACTCTTCCTTTTCACAATTTTGAAGCCTTGGGTATATGTCTCAACTTTTCCTCTTGAGTTTCTATGTAAAAGATTGAGTCTTGGCATGTTAAATAAGAAAAATAATAACCAAGATGATCACTAGCTTAAACATGCTTAAAAATGGTAGCTTGGACTTTCTGTTATGGGTAAAAATTGAACCTTATAGGAAAAACTCTTAAAAAATGCATTTTTGAAAAATTGTCGCAAAATATCCCGATATTGGAAAAACAATATCTGGATATTGATATCCGTATATCGATATCCCGATATTCCTTCGTCAATATCCCGATATGATATTCAGATATCGATATTCCGATATTCCTTTGGCAATATCCCAATATTTTGGTCTGGACAAAAACGAACCTATTTTACTAAAAACTTGTTATCTTCAGCTACAGAGCTCCAAATTAGGTTCCGTTTGTACCTATGTGAAGCTAAAACATAGAGTTACAACCCTGTAAAATTTTGTAGCCATTAGATAAGTGGTTTAATCTAGTTTGAATTTGAAACTTGGTTGCTGGAAATTCAGTTTACATCAGTCACTTTGCGAAAAACATAACGGGAGTTATACAACTCCAAATGAGACATAAAATATGTCGTTTGAAAGCTTGTGATGTCTAGTTTAACATAGTAAAATCTTAGAATTTTTGGTAATGAGTTACAATGCCAGTTTTAAAAATGAAAAAGGCTATTTGTGCTTAGGGGGTTTTGGAAGAAGCCTGCAGTCACAAAACGAAAAAGAAAACGTAGTCCATTTAACTTGAAATCTCGGGAATATAATTGTTAATGGTATTTTTGACATAAAATAGATTATGATTCTGCTATTTGGTGATTTGTGAGCTGCTGTTTGAATTTTGAGCTTGATTATACTTCTTGCAGGTAAGTTTCATGTTCTAAAGGCGGTTTGTGCTTGGGGTTTTTGGAAGAAGCCTGCAGTCTCAAAACGAAAAATAAAACATAGTCCATTTAACTTGAAATATCGGGAATATAATTGTTAATGGTATTTTTGACATAAAATAGATTGTGATTCTGCTATTTGGTGATTTGTGAGCTGTTGTTTGGATTTTGAGCTTGATTATACTTCTTGACAGGTAAGTTTCGTGTTCCTAGGGTTAATCCCCATTTGTTCCACCATTTTCCAAGAAGAGGATGGTAGTTTTATATAGTATATATGCTTATATGTTATTTGAGACAATGAAATGATGAACTCTAATATATATATGTTATGTGGTGTATTACACACAAGATGACTAATACATGAGTGTTGTGTGGAGCTGCACAAGACTGTATTTCCTGAGTGTGGGTATAAGGCAAGAGCCTTATAAGACTGTATGTATGTAGCAGACGTGTGTAAATCATACTGTTCTCTGGCCAGTAGACTTGTTAGCACACATACATAATATATATATATATATATATATATATATATATATATATATATATATATGTTGTTGCATCATATGGATATTATTATTGTTAAATTGTTATTTGAGAACTGTTATACCAAAGTGAGCTTGGGGCGGAGGAACTCTTCGAGAACCCTTGCTTACTGAGATTTCTGTTTAGAGATCTCACCCCATGTCAGACATATTTTCAGGTGTAGACGTCCATGAGATAGATGTCTCCCGAGGCAAGAAAGCGTAGCAGAGTTGAATTATATGCATGCTTTATTTATATCACTTGGACATGATTCTTATACCTGAGATATGACTATTATGCTTATGTTATATCTGTTGTGACTTGTGAGCATGGAGGTTGTCCATGCCTTATTTGATATTTGTCTTTTATTGGACATGTATGCTTGGTATACGCCATGAGATATGGACGTTGGTCATGACTACGTGATGTAGCTTCATGACTTAGTATTTATTTATGTTTTGGAGGCATTTCAGGAAATCATATTTTGATTTTGCAATTACATAAGGATATAGATGGATTTTATATTGCTATGTTAATAAAAAAAGTGATTTTGCTTGTCTACAAACTTAATTTATTATAGCTTCCGAATTTAATTCAGCTGCGCTTAATACCATAATATGATAACAATCTGGATGTATAAGGGGTGTTACAAATGCCTTTATGCCCTTCATTAGATAAGAGAATATTATGTAAATTTTTGTTTTGTCTAATACAACTTCAAATTATAGTAAATCGATGTTAGAATGTATTTATACTTTTACTTATTTAAAAAAGTATTAACCAAGTGTAAGCCTGAATATGAACTATGATTGGTGTGCTATAATGTTGTTTTTTGATAACTAGTATTTAATAATTGTTTTCAAGGAAATGTTAAGAGATCAAAAAGATAATAAATTGGCTAACAAATCAAGTGATGGGTGTAACACCCCGTATGCATCCGGATTGGTTATCATATTACGGTATTAAGCGCAGCTCAATTAAATGCGGATTCTAAAATAAAATCAGTTATTAGACATACCATATTAGTTTTTCCTTTATTAACATAGTAATATGAAATCCATCTATATCCTTATGTAATTGCAAAACCACAAATAAAATCCTGAAATGCCTCAATATCATAAATAAATACGAAGTCATGAAGCTACATCGCGTTGTCATCACCAACGCCCATGTCTCATGGCATATACAAAACATACATGTCCAACAATAACACAAATAAATCAAAGGCATGGACAACCTCCATGCTCACAAACAAATAAAACATCTATAGTCTGGTAAAATCATAACGCCATAGTAGTTATATCTCAGGTACAATAATCATGTCCATAATAATCTGAATAAAACATGCATCTCAAATAAACTCGTACTCCGGCCTCTTGCCTCGGGAAGCATTCAAATCATGGACATCTGTACCTGAAAATGTGCCCCACACGGGGTGAGATCTCTAAACAGAAATCTCAGTAAGCAAGGGCTCTCGAAGAGTTCCTCCGCCTCAAGCTCACTTCGGTATTACAGTTCAAATATAACAGTTTAACAATAATAACATAATCACATGATGCAACAACATATATATATCATGCATATGTGCTAACAAGTCTACTGGCCAGAGAATAGTATGATTTACGCACGTCTGCTACATACATAAGAAGTATAAGGCTCTTGCCTCATACCCACACTCAGGGAATATAGTCTTGTGCAGCTCCACACTACACTCATGTATTAGCTATCTTGTGTGTAATACACCACATAACATACATATATAAGAGTGCATCATTTCATCATCTCAAATAACAGATAAGCATATATACCATATAAAACTATCGTTCCCCTCTTGCAGTATGGTGGAACAAATGGGGATTAATCCTGAGAACACGGAACTTACCTGTGAAGTAGTATACTCAAGCTTAAAATCTAAATAGCAGTCCACAAGTCACAAAACAGCAGGATCAAGGTCTGTTCATACCAAAAATATAATTAATATTCATAGTCTATAAGCTTATGGCATTAGGACAACGTTTCCTTTTTTCGTTTAATGACCGTAGGCTTCTCTCAAAGCCATAAGCCTTCAATATTATTGGTTCTGACTTAATTAAATTATTCCAGAGGTTCATAACAATCATTTAAGGGTCCAGAAACCCAACCCACGCTTCTGTTTGGGTAAAATAGCTCAAAACATGATTTTTTCCAGAATATCCCGATATTCTTCTGGGACATATCCGGATATCAATATCTGGATATCACAGGGTCAATATCCGGATATCCATATCTAGATATCACAGACCTAATATCCGGATATTCATATCCAAATATTCACAGGCCCAATATCCGGATATCCATATTCGGATATCACCAACCAAATATCCAGATATTTCACGACAGAATGCAGTTTTTTCATTTTCGCGAAGATATCCCTTCAAGGTTCCATTTTTAACACTTCTAGACGTCCAAGCATGCATTTTTAGACAAATTTAAGCAATTGTTTGTTTTGGTTAATAAATATCTTCGTTTAACATGCCAAGACTTGATCTTTTACTTGAAAACTCAAGAATAAAGGTTATGAATGTACCCAAGGCTTTACCAATAGAAAATGAATGGCCTTTAAGGTTAGAAAATCCACTCCAAGGTATTGTATACAAAGATGCACGAACTTAAGC